GAATTTAATCCGCAGAATTGACACGGCAAACTTTCAAATTTTTTTTTCGTTGAAAATTAATTTACTATGTACAAACCAGGGCTGGCAACGTAAAGGGATTAAAATCCTAATTAGCAATAATTGGTATTCACTAAACTAACATATTAATATGACTAAATAATTTAGTCAAGTGCTCGTTTGAGTTACGCAACCAGCCCTGGTACGACCACTTACTGAGCAATAATTTTTAATTGTGACATTATTATTATAATCTTTAAATATTAATATATCTTTTTAAAGTATTCATAATAAACAAATATTTTCAATAAATTTAAATTAATTAACATCTATTAAATTTGTAAATGCCTCTTATACTTCAACGTATAAATTAATACATTTTTATTGATACTGTAGCAAACTTTCTATTTTAATAATCACTAATCATTAACCATATATCAAGTAAATAAATAAATATACCAAAGACACCAAGGCTAATAAAATAACTTTAAATCTATAGCAAAGTAAAGCGGACATTGATTTTTTGTAAATTAGTAAGATATGACAAAAATAGATAAAAGTGGACATCAATTTTTTGTAATTGTGGTTTTGAATTTTTGAATGCAATTAAGTAAGTATATGTGACGACCAAATGTATAAACTTTCGAAAATTTCACTTAAGACATTTAGCTTTAAGATGTCATATACAAGATAAAGAATATAAAGAAAAATATATTGTGAAATAAAACAATAAATTTTCAAATGAATGCGTTCTACCATGATGAATTACCAAAAAAAAATGCTCTAATAATAAAATATAAATAAAAAGAGTATATGTGCTTAACGATTTAAGTGCATATGATCATTACAAATAGAATAATAAATCCATTTCCTTCTTATTCGATATTGCTTTAAAAAAATATAAATAAAGACTTAAGTGGATATGGCCATTTAATAAATTACAAATAGAATGATAAATTCATTTCTTCTTTGTATTGCTTAATAAATAAAAAATAAAAAATAAAAAATAAAAAATAAATAAAACATAAAATGAGGTTAGCAATAAATTATTTTCTATCTTGATTATCTCTATGTCTTAACATATTGATCATTTGTTCCAATTCAAAATGATGCTGACTAATCTTCATTGCATGATAAGAATAGGCTGAAAAAAGATCTTCATTCTTGTTTCCACAATTTAATGAAGGAACATTTAAATTTACATCGGGATTATTTAAACCATTGATGTTGTTATTAATTGAATGTGAAGTATGCGAGTTGTTTTTAGCATAAACTAATTGGCAGTGTTGCTGTGGTGGTTGTGGTGGCAAATATTGCGCTGCCAGTATGTTATTGTTGTTGATATTAGTCATTTTTTGAAATGGTGAATTTGTTGCAGTAATTGATAATGAATCATCAAATGCAATAATTTCTTGATCAAGATTTTGAGTTTGTTGTTGAAGAAATTGCTGGGTTGGATTATTAATTCGTTGCATATAAATGTGTTGTTGACCGGAATTTTGAGCCTGTTGCTGTTGTTGCACGTGACTCCAAAGTTGTCCTTGTTGGAGTTGTTGCTGAAGTTGCTGGGCAGAATGTTGAAACTGATCATCATAATAACAATAACAATTTTGTTGCTGTTCATCCTGAATTTGTTGATTGGGTGGCGACATTTTTTGTGAAATAGTGTATTTGACGGTTATAATTATTTTAGATGTTTTTGAGTTGACGCGTCGTCACCAGTGATTTGTTAATGCTCTTAAATAATACCAATAATATTAGTTTATTAAATAATTGTTAAACACGGCCAAGTGATTTTTATTATTTTTATTATATAATATTATTAATATTATTAATATCAATCAACCCTTTAACGGATAATTTTCCAAAGAATATATTTGGGATATAAACTTTCGATTAATAGTATTTTAAAATATATAAAGTTAAAAGTGTTAAAAGGGTTTTAAAGTTTTAGAATTTTAAGAATTTTTTTCTTCGGTAAAGAAAAAAAATAATCAGTTGAGTATTTTTTACTCTATTTATATATTTTCAGAGCTTCTTTATTTTTATCGTTATAAAGAATCCAAAAATAAGAATGTTTGTGCCAATCATTTATTATTACACACATATTCTTATCACCTTGCATTCTCATAAAAATCCATTCCCTTAATTGTTTTGATGATGGGACAAAATACAAGTGTGAGTTTTTAATAAACACGGAAAATTTGATTTTTAAGGCACAGGAAAAAATTTTTTTTTAAATATACATATTGGTCGATCCCCTACAAAAAAATTTTTTTTCAATTATCTATTGGAAATTTTCTATAGTGTCTTTCATTTGCTTGTCAATTAAATTTTATTAGAAAGTAGTAATAGTTATAAATCCAACTTTCCTTCAATTAATTTTTATGTTTGATTTCTAACATTTAATTCATCTACGATTTCCATTAAAAGCTTCGCCAGAAGAATCAATT